TTTCTGTGACTTAATCTCTTTTTGCAACGACTATGCATTTTAATGATTTTTATCACCGTTTTATTATTATGATCATGTGATAATGGAAGCCTAACAGGGAGAGCTGATAAGCACCGTCATACCTGTTAACTCCAGCTGGGATTTCAGGTTTTGTCAGTTAACACAAGGAAAGTCTGTCTTATAGCATACCATGGTTCATTAATTCTAATTAGCAAAGGTGACAATGCAACAGCTGGTTACTGCGTCCCAACAGCTGTCAGTGAAGGTGGCCACGCCCCTCAGAGAGAAACTATCCACAGAAAACTCTAAGCAGGTTCATTCCTGCTGTGAAGCTGGATGTTTTAACCTGGAGGTTTATGGGGACTCAGTTTAGGAGCAAGCCTCAAGTGGCCGTAAGAGGAACTGCAGTTTTTATCACATTCAGGCTAATCAGGTTGCCATTTAGCTAAATCTGATTAAGCACCTTTTTCTTAGTTTACATAATTTTATGCTCATGGTTGAACACCGGACAGTTTTTGTTCTTCCTCATAAGACAAAGCCTACATCCTAAATCCTAAAGGGAAAAAACATCCACCGGTATTTTAACCTAACTAGCCTAGAAGAGTAGCTTCAGTCTCTGCAGTCTGCTGAATTTCATTCCCTTTCAAAAGTTAAACACAGTGTAGTGATTTATACATTTGTCTACCATATGAAAGATCCCCACTTCAGTCCATGGAGGATACACAAATCCCTTTGAGGTTGAATCAGGAAAGGAAAATCAGCCAAATCCTCTGTGGTGACGCCTTTGAAAGAGGAAGCAGATGAAAGTAGCTTAGCTTAAATGTTGAAGCATTACTTAAATGCATGCTTTACAAGTGTAATTTACTAAATGTGGCCTGTCACAAATATTAATAAGCCCACTCTCTTTCATATAAATGCATCTGGAATAAAAACAAGCCACTAGCTGACGCTGTGCTCTCGTAGTTTAAACATAAATAAATCCATCTATCATTTCCTTTAACATGTAACATCTTTAAAATCAAGATTTCAGACAAACTTGCTAACGAAGTGATTCAGTGCTGTGAAAATAATCTTTGCTCTGTGTGAGTCAGCTGTCACAAATATCTGGGACCAAGGTTAGAGGTGCGAGCAGCTGCTCCGTCATCCACCGTACTGGGAACCAGACCTCCACCCCCAGCTCCAACCACCACCAACAACAAATATACCTCTTTCAAAACAACAAAATTGAGCATTAATCAGTTTGAGTTCAGGTGTTATCACAAAAACTGTGAGAAGATCCTGCCTCCTGTGGTTAAATAAAAGCTCTGGACTAAAGCGGATCAGCCCATATGTGTAATAGATTACTCTGAAAGTTATTAATGTAAACATGCAGCCGAACACAAATAGAGTTCAGTTTGAATCGCTGCCAGTGATCACATGATCCATCTGTGGGCTGATTATTTTCTTATTTACAAACATAAACAATTTGAACATTGTTGCCCATTTCGGCTTCAGCTCTGCTTTTCTTTGAATTTGATTATTAAAGTTATGGAGCTGCAATGAGCCTCACAGCTTCTTCTCTGCAGTCTAATAGATGTTTGTTTGTGTCTGGTGGAAAAGAAAAATACATCTTAAATGATGTTGAAAACACTTTTTAACTGTATTAATTTGCTGTTGCCACACGTGCTTTTTCACCTGAAGAAATAGGAACTATTTTACTGTGAAATACAAGGAGGAGGCTGGTAATCTAAGCACTGGAGGTCCAGCTTCAGCTCTGAAATTTTATTTTTAAACCTTGAGCTCTGTGCTCCTGTGAAGCTGCTCTGAGTGTGTCGCACTTCTCAAAGAAGCACAAATTTTCTCCAATAATTGTCACTCTGCAGAAAACGAGCAGCGTCTTTTCAGTTAAACGTGTAAGAGCTGCACAACACAAGCGCAGTCTACAGATTCTGATTTTCCGAGTGTGTTTATTGTTGTTTTTTGTTGTTTTTAAACTTGATTAGAGATGTGTTTTCAATCAGCAGTGATTCAGGAGTGAAAAACTACTTATGAGAGGAAAAAAAACTCTAATGTGCCAATTTAAAAAAAACAAACAACAACTATGTATTAAGTGTGAATTTATCTGCTGCCCTTTGTGACTGGATCACAGTGTGGGAGGTTTAGGAGACGGAGAGCACCTGTCGATGAGGAGGAGCAGCAGCACTCCTCACATCCACAGTGAACACACACAATTATTCTCTCTGGCATAAAGAGCAGCTTAAGTCAGCAAACTTTCATTTATTAAAGTATAATTTTGAATTAATAACTTATATAATTCATATATAAATGCTCTGATTATTTGCTGTTTGATGCTCAGCAGGAAGTGACTGATTTTAGAGCAATTTCACCGATCAGCTGCTTGCTATAGTCTGAAACATCGGCGTTATTTACAGAGTTAAAACTGGTCGTTGATATTGTTTCCACGGACAGAAATAGAAAGCCATCTGATTCATACCTGAATTGTTTGGGAACAACCGTCACACGCAGTCTTCTCCATAGTGTGCGTGGAGAGGATATCCCTAATCTGGATTACACATAAACAACACCTTTATACAGACATCTACAGTGTCTGTGTGTAAATTCTGCCACATTTGTTGCCGGGTAAACTTATTTATCTGGTCTCTCACAGTCTTCAGCTCTCATGTGCGAATTATAAATATTGATGTGAGAATTTCACACGTTTGTTCTTCTTCTTACAAGCTAGAATCTTCTGTTTGTTTCACTTTGTTTGAAATCTTGATCACAAATTTGCCCGTGCTGGAAAATCCAATCAAACTTTTTAAACCAAGAGTCTCAAGAAAAGGCGATCAGCTCGATGTAGAAATGGTTGCATTTATAACGTTCATCATTAAATAAAGAAATTAGTCAACAGAGAAAAGATTCAAAGCTGCTGAGGTCTTACCTGAGCTACAGAGACAGGTGGGCTCATGCTGTTTTCATGCTTGGGCTCCACAACCAACTACAGGCTCACATACTGTAACAGTAATAATAACCCATAATAACTGTGTGCTATACTTTGTGCTATACTGCGTTTATGTCACCTGTACCTGTGCAGCATAAATCCACACGACACAACATCAGCTCCCGGCTTCTATCACCTTTCACATGTGGCTGCATTCCTCTGCTTATCTCATATGGGTATTTATAGAAGCTGACCAGCACTACAGGCGTGTGTGTTTGTGTGCTCTAACACCCCCTGCGGTACAGTAATATTCCAGCAGCAGCTTCTTCACATTGTTTCCACTCAACAGTTAAATATAAAGATTAGAATAAATTCTAGTTTTTATGATAATAGCATAATTTCATATTGAGATAATTTCATATGTGTTTTGTTTTTATTTCACTTTAATAAAATCTCCTCAACATGCTGTTAAGCATTGAAATTAAATGTATTTTACCTCTTTCTCTGGCCTCGCTCTTGCTCTTCTTCCCTTCCTTTTCTTCTTCTTTCACCGTCTTTCTTTGTTCTGGGTGGTTGTTCACTCACAGGTTCCTCTTAGCTCCGTCCCTCTGTCCTCTGTCCATCTGCAGCAGTGCTGTGTGTGTGTGCATGTGACTGTTTGTGTGTCAGTATCAGGGTCCCCAAAAAAGCTGTAACGTATGATTCAACCCCCATCAGACCCTCCTCTTTCGTTTCCCTTCTCCAGCATCCACCTCCATTTCCAAATACAGGCACCCCCTCATCACCCCTCCCCTCCTAGAATAGAATCCATAACAGGCCTGCTCTCTTCTCACCACCCTCCCTCCTTTGGGACCTCAGGGTGTCAGGTGTTAAACTTGGCTTCTCTCTTGTGTGTCTGTTTTCTTTGTTAGTTTGTTGCTCAGCTTTTTCACACCAGCAAACAGGGTTAGCATGGCTCAATAGTTATTTTATGATTACTGCAAACATTAAGTTGTCTAGTGTTTAGTGGATAGTAATAAATGTGCCTGGAATTTAAATGCAACAAAAACTGACAACTGGAGTCATGCACAGAATTGACATCATATAAAAATATCACCTGTGTTGTCTCACGTAAACATGCACTCAATAAATATCAGCAATTCAAATCCAAACAAACCAGACAGCTACAGGTTTGTGATTCCTGATGAGATGCTTGGATAATGCAGTGGTTCACATATCACATAGCAAGCAAATGACTCCTGGTTTGATCCCAAGAAAAGACACATATCCTCTTGGCGTTATGTCAGGAGGGCAACTGGTGTAAAAAAAAAAAAATCTGCCAAATCAAACATGTGAAGCTAACTGCTGTGGTGACCCTTTGTGAATAAGGAGGTAGCTGAAAGTAGCTTTCCTTTGTATAAAAGAAAAAATTAACTGTAAGTCAACCAACACTCTAGTTTTAAGAATGAATCTTATGACATAACTCTGAGGAAAACATCCAGCTCCAAGTTATCGCATAGTCAGTGATACCAATACATTTAACGTGGAAGACATTTGTGACTTTTTACACAAGCTCCTGGAGACGCTACCGTATATGCAAGTGCATTCAGAAATGTTGAAGCTGGTCCCCTGGAAACAATTGTTGATAGAGGAATTCAATGAATGGGTGTTCTTGTTTTAAAGTGACCCTTCCAGTCAGTCTGTGGTTGACAGCATCTCTGCTTTGTCTGTGCTTATGAACATTTTTTATGTTACTTTAGTGAAGCTTAATCTGTTTGGGGGTATGGTAGCCAAACTGAATAAGATGGGGTGAGTTTACGCCATAAGCTTAGTTTTTTATGTTCATTTTTTTGTGGAAAACAAACTAATACTTTTATAGTTAGTTCACTTTATTGTGTTTATTTTGCTTTCAGACTTTTTTTTAAAATCATTAAGAGTTAAAAAATAAATAAATAATTCTACATCTTAAATGAATGTACGTGTTGAATTACGTTTGACTTAAGTTTTGTTTTTGTTTTGTTTTTTTCTTCCTGGCACTCGGCTTTTATTTTTTAAACTCCGTCGTCCCAGGTACCGGAAGTCGCCTCGTTTCTTCCCTTTCTCTGCTCGGTCTGGATCAAACCGTTTCCGGGCGACAGGGTACCAGCAGTAAACATGGCGGAGGAACTGCTGGAAACAGTGGAGAGACTTCAGTCCCGGCTCCAGGAGAACCAGGAGCCCCGAAAGGTAACGGCCCAGCAGGTCGACACGGACACGTTTGGTGGTCAGCACCGATCGTTCCGCGAAACGTGACCGACAGACGTGAGGAAGCCGCGGTCACGGCGACGGCTCCCAGAAAGTCGTAACGTTTTTTAAATGCTGCGTTCACGGCTCGCTCTCCGACTCTGTCTTCTCACATTTCTCGGTTCAGACTGTGATGATGAAGCATCAGCAGTTTCCTGAAGTGGCAGCTTTATTTGTAACACAATGCTAATCTAATTAATTTGCAGAGTATTAAATTAGCATTGGGATAACTGTATGATAAAGAAAGTATTTAAAAAAGACATTAGGAGAATAAGATCAACAGTTCACATTTCTAATACTTCTCATCATTTCTACATGTTGAAATCATAATATAAACCATAGTTGTACTGTAAATATCTCCACTGTCTGTTGCTGTGTACAACAGATGTTTGGGATTATGATTTGGGTGTAATTTATTATAGGGATAATGAAAGTATACACCAGGGAAATCATACCTGCCACTAATCTGACACTGATTCTGGGCATTGATGTGTTTGGTATATAAACAGTTACTCTTGCCTCCTTAAACCAATATAGCTAATAGGATTTCCATTTCTCACTCATGTGTGAGGCTGCAGCTTCAGCTGTTAACTAGGCCAGTGAGGAAGACTCACTCTATAGGTCCCTATAATGACAGTCCTCTGTAGATATTGGGGCAGGTGTCTGTCAGTCAGGAAATTCAACATGTTTTAACACTACAATGCTTATGGCAGTCTCAACATGGGCCTTCAGGGGAGAATGTAAAGGCAGGCATGATTGGTCCCAGTTCTGCACTTTCCTGTTGTTTTTTTTTTTTTTTTTTTTACGTAGTAATTAAACTCCACTCAAACAGGTTGTTACTAATATTTTAAACACAGTGCTGGATATTTTTTCCTTTAGTGTAAGAGTTAAAGTTCTTTTTTTCCCTCTTGCATAATAATAACAGGTCGTGTACTTCCCAAAACAGTTCGTCACTCATTCAAGTGAGTTCTTCAGTCACTCAGTGAAGCAGAGACTGAAAAAGTCACTTGGATGAATGACAAAACATTTCTCCCACTGAAAAGGTCACATCCAGATTAACAGAGTCAACTTTCAGGGATTTTCTTACCTGGAAGATTGAGCATGCATCAGGTCATTTACTTGTTAACAGAAGCTGCATCTGTGCCAGTCGTACACATTTTCACATTTCTAAAATGCAACTTATTGAGTAATAGATTAACAAAAAATTTTGGCATGGTGTCATTCATATTTGTGATTTTGTTTGTTGGGTTTTTTTTACTGTGTCATGCAGAAAACACCAAATTCCCTAAACAGCTCTGCATTTTTAAATCTTACCTCATCACAGTAAGAACAATTCACACAGCCTGTCGTCTCCCTGGATGTTTTAAAATCTGAATCTATTTCTTTTCCAACCATTTATTTTCAGTTATAGCAAGTAATTGTAATATATTTATATATTGTAATATATATTGTAATATAATTAAACTTATTTAAATTAGTCATACACATTGATTATATAAACTGAAAATGTCATGACCCTCTGTAGCCCACAGAATTGTGGGATTTATTTCAGAGATAGGATACATTCAATTTAAAGTGTGAGTGATATCAATATCTGATTAGATAAAAATACAATATTTTATATATCTAGATATTTCTAACCTTAAAACACACAAAACATAAACAAATTTCCCTGACATCAGCCACGTTTGATTATTTATTTACTTGTTTGCTGTATTTGTCTCCTGTTGCCAGCAGGGAAGCTGCAGAGCGCCCTCTGGTGGACAAACTATGGAACATCACAACTAATAATATGGTTGAATGGTGTTTCTCCCATCTCTTTACTTTCTTAACTTTCATTTACTGACCATTGTAAATTCAGACACCGATTCAAACACTGCAAATAGCTGATATTGGCTAAGGGATCGGCCAAGCTCTAGTTAAAATAAATTAAAAATAAAAAGCTGATCATTTAGTAAATCATAATTATGTAGCAGTGTTTAAATTGATATTTCAGGGACCTTTAGGGACTTTAATTGAAATGCAAATGATTGAATAAAATGTAAATGCATGTTATTTGGCTGTTTAGCTGAATCATTTGGCCAGTTTGGACAAGACAATATCTGGGTATTTCTTGCTAAATGACCATTATCTGTTATTGCATCAATTCAAATTGTAGAGAGGCATTTACCGTATTTATGTGATTTATTATTGTGTCTAAAGTAATCTTCTTTTTTAAAAATTTATCTTAACAACAGTATTTCAGAAGGGCGTCACCACAAACACAGTCGTTTCTTAGTATCTCAGTGTGTTCCGACAGCCTGTGAAGGCACCGTGTGGGACGTCACAGTAATTAAGGGGTTTTAACTTGTTATAACGTAGTTGTTTAACCCTACATTTTCAGCTCAATGTAACGATTGTCAGCTCGTTGTTAGCACATATGGATTTATTTTCTGCCTTTTATCGGAGCAGCTGCACCAAACACGACATATTTTACCCGAAAACCAAACTCGAAGCTAGAGCAGTCGTTAGCCGTTCAGCTAGCTAACGTTAGAAAGTAGTGACAGCTCAGCGGCGACAGGCCTCTGAGATTTACCCGATTCTGGTTAACTGGAGCTGGGCTCCTACTCATGTCCAAACCCGGAGTCTATTGTTAAAGAAAACTGGAGATAAAAGCGTGTAAATGGTGACACACGGCCTCTTGGCTTCGCCTTTGTTTACTGCTGGTGTGTAACAAAGCAGCGTGGATGCGTGTGATGCGTTTGCTGAGCACAAACAAGCTGCACAAGTGAAGCTTTAACTGCAAAAGAAGACGCAAAAATCAGGAGGGAAAAGGTTTTCTAACAGCTCTGCCACGTTAGGCCACCTCATCCTTTAGCAGTGATGGCGCAGAGCTGAGCGCAGATAGTGTGAGTCAGGCAGCAGCTGCAAGTTTCATATGAAGCAGGTCCACGGAGCAGATGGAGCCTCTCTACCGAGAAAATCTCGGGGAGGAAATGCATGAAAATCTGCTTTAACGCCCTGTTCACTTTTCCAGTTTTAATATATAATGAATTGTGATGTACCAGTTGTTTAAGTGACTCGGACTTTGCAGGAGAAACAAAAACACAAAAATACAAAGCCTTGCCACTGGGTCCCAAATAATGAAAACCTAATAATGTAATCAAGGCGCACTGAATCTTATCCCTGCCTTTATCTCATCATGCCTGACTGTAACAGACTGATTGCCTTTAAGACCCTCTGTAGTCGCCTTCAGCTACATCTACTTTTTTTTTTAACCGTTTGCAGCAGTACCTTGAAATCCTCGGGCAGAGGACTTATGTCTTCTCCAGAGGCTCGGTTGAAACCTCAGAATCTGTTACTGAACATGGAAAAGGTTGAAAATGGAGAGTTCGTTTATTTCAGACATGGAAAAGTAATATTTTAAGAGGTTACCGATCCAAATACAAAGACTCAAAAGCAGTCAGCTCGTTACAGTCTGACTGGTCAGGAACCAGGCAAACTAAAGACAACAGACGAATAAATATTGATGGGCGACAAAATGTTTTAAAAATTGATACATTAGAAAAATTGAGAATAATTATTTGAAAATAGCTTAGAGTCTCTTTGCATTTCATTTTAGATTCTTTTGAACTGATTCCTGTGTTTTCCTTTACATAAAGGAAAAATCCTTTTAAAAAAAAAAGAAAAAAGGATTTTTCCTTTTTATTTTTCCTTCTAAACTGATCTTGGAAAAAGTGCAAATTGAGGCATGAAATGTAGGAAATTAATTGTTGAATGCTCAAAATTTCCTTGAGTTTACCCTAGCTTCCCCGGTTTATTGTTTTTTAATGTAATGTGTTTAATTTAAATGAAATGTTTTTGAGATGTTTTAGTTGGTTTTGCAGTCGTTGAATGGTTGTGTTCAGTGTTCAGACTGTTATTACAGCTGCCGTTCTATGGGATAACATCTTTGGGTTTCAGTAAAGATGTCGACCTTTATTTAAACTAGAAATAGTGCGGGACATTTTTAAGGCAAGCACAAAAGGGTAAATCATCTCGTGTTACTTGTGAAGACTCTGCAGACGTTAAAGAGAAAAGTTAAGAATAAATATTTCAAATTGGCACAGGAAATATACCCTGCTTCTTCATTTTATGTTTTTCTTATTCACTATGACAAAATAACAGGAAACCACACAAATGTATGAATAAAAATTCATCACCCATGATTCTTTACTCATTATCCAGATGCACTCATTCCAGTGTATGTTATATTAAGGGTGACCGCATGTCCTACTTTTTACCTGGGCCTGTACAGCATATCAGCCCTCCACCCATCTAAGGTATTCAGACAATGTCCCACATTTTAATTGGCTCTGCTGAGTCTCAAAAGGAGGTGTTGTGTGGATGCATCCCTGCTGAAACCTAAAGATGATTAGCATCTGAATCCTCTGTTTTTACTGGGAAATAAAATGAAAATACAAAAGTGTACAAAGACAAAACCCCCACAGACTTTAGCTCTTGTATATGCTCATAAGAAATTCCTCACATGGTCAATGCCAAACCAGTGCCAAAGAATTTTAGACTGCTAGTAAATACATTATACATTAAAAAGCGACACAAGACGAGCAAATCTCTTCCAGTGTGGATGCAAATTTAGGCCTCTGAAGGTTCTTATCTGTATCACGCTACGATTACATTATGTTGCCTAGCAGTCACCTGTTAACAGGCCACAACAGTCCCAGCAAATTTACTGCTGTTGTTACAATTCCTTATAAGGATTGTTTTTATGAAACACTTGTGTATCTGTTTAAACCACAGGTGTCAGGCCGGCCCAGCTCAATTTAATATCACGTGGGTCAGACCACTTATACAGCTGTATAAAAATCCGCCTTTATTTTAACGTAAAGAAGTTCTAAATACATTTAATTAGCTGTCTTATGTGTATTTTAGTACAAAATAATAAAGTTTGTGGTCTTTCCATTTTTAGTCCTCACACCTCACAGTGTTCACTGTCCAAAGCCATTCACTGGGCTAGTTGGGACCAGGTTAAAACAAAGGCAGGAATAATCTCCTCTGTCACCTTTCGGGGGCTCAACAGTAATATTTACCAAAACAGCAGCTTCAGTAACTGTTTTAGGAAAATAAATTTAAACAAACTCATTCTGCTTAATTTCAGCTCTATATTTTTATTGTTGGACTCAACCAGAGTAGCTTTTACACGGTTCTTGATTCAAAATAATTTATCTTACACTCTGTCTCCCTTAAGTCCAACTTTCTTGTGATTGACTGTATCTCACAAACAAAAGGTTTGAAGAACAGGTGGTCACGTCTGCAGTATTTGAGTCTTTGGCTTCGTCTAATATGAACAACCATCACTGTAACATAAAATAAGGAAAGGCTCTGTGGTGGAATCGGGACTCTTTCTCCAAATGATACATTTTTGTTTTTCCTTTCTTTTTATTTCAGCTGCTGAAGACTCTGAAAAGACTCGGGGAGCTTCCTATGACTGTGGACATATTGGTGGTAAGGATGTGTTGCTTCATCACCTCCAAACTGTCGATGCAAAAATCAGAGGGAAAATATTCTAGATAAATGAGTGGGACAGCAAGTTGACAGCTTCCCTCCTGAACTTGTTTCTGGCCAGTTAAATCGCTTGCCTGGAGCTGCCAAAGCATGACTGTTAAATCTGGGAATTTCTCTTGTAGGAAACTGGAGTGGGAAAGGCTGTGAACTCCTTCAGGAAACACGAATTAGCTGGAGAGGTGGCAAAAAATCTCGTAGCCAAATGGAAGAAACTGGTTCCTCAGTCTGGAGACAGGTATCGGCTGCACACCTCTGCCTCGACATGCATGACTTTAGCTCTCATGTGTCTGTACGCTGTGTGCTCTGTTTCTGCAATGGTCGTATGTAACGATGACTTTTCAGTACAGAAGATCCAAACTTTCAAAATAAAACCCCAAAATTAAATGGCGTCATCTGCAAAAACTGAGTTCTGTCTCCATCTTTCTTCCTCAGACCCAACAGCCACGGCTCCAGATCTCACACGCAGGCTCGAGGCCACGACGCGAGCGGCAGAGGAGACCATAAATGTCCCCGAGAGCCCTCGCCTGAGGAAGACCGCTCCTACGTAGAGGATGAAGAGGAGGAAAGAGGTTACCACACCAACTATTCGCCCTCACCTCCTCAGCACGACCAGTACAGTCCCCCACAGCGCGGAGGGTATCACTCAGACGAATACGAAAGCCCTGAGCCCGAACCTGAACCCAGCCCGCCACCACCTCCTCCCCCTGTGTCCCGCAAAGACGTCCGCCACACCAAACCAAACAAGGAGCCGAGCAAGAACCACCACAGCGACCGAAACCGAGACGAGGAGCGGCGGCAACGCCACGCACAGACGAATAGCGATAGAGAAGGCGGAGGAAGTCAAGGGAAGAAGCGAAGCGGAGACCGAGAGAGACATCAGAGTCCGGTACAGAAGGCTGCCAAACACAGCAAGAAGTCAACCACGCATGACAGCAGGAAGGAGGAGAAGAAGAAAGGAGGAGATGAAGGTGAGTTCGATACTTGTTATTAATCTCGATCTCTCTTCCACAGCATGTCTTTTGTCCTGTCTTCCTACCGGTCGCAGCAGATGGCCGCCCCTCCCTGAGCTCGGTTCTCCTGGAGGGTTCTCTTCTGTTAAAAGGGAGTTTTTCCTTCCCCCTGTCATTAAAGTGTTTGCTCATAGGGGGTCATATGATTGTTGGCTTTTTCTCTGTATGTATTGTTGTAGGGTCCACCTTACAATATAAAGCGCCTTGAGGCAACTGTTGTTGTTATTTGGCGCTTTATTAATAAAATTCACAAGAGCTACAGCGCCTGCCTATGTAGGCAGCTGCCCCCAACCACTACAGGAAACAATAACCAGCTGCTCGAGTAACTGATAGCAGTGGTTAATCTAAAGATAACAGAAGAAAAAAACATCTGCAGAATTATGAGCACTTCAAAACAGTTTAAAATCAAAACATCTGCAGCTCGCTGAGACACCTTCCTGTTGCCTTGCTTGTGGGCGCATACAGGTGACTGCATCACTCGAGTCTCATTTGAATAACAAATTAACCTTTTAAAAGCAGTTGACCAGTCTTTTTAATCTTTAAAAGACTGCAGTCAAATATCAGGTTCACAGAAATAATTTTTCATGTTCCACTCAAGATCCCAGTTTATCTAAAGATACCAAACATGTCAGAATTAATTTGTTACATGTAGCCTGAATAACAATTTAAACTATAACTACACCATCTTCTCCTCACTAAAAGCCCATAAATGTCTTACTGAAAGATAATCATCTTCTTGTTGTACTGTGTAATGTTTTACTTTGCTATGAAGGAAATAAGCCGTGAGATTTAGGGGCACTTAAATAATCTTCTTTCTGTCATTTAACTCTTGATTTCTGGTACTTATACCACAGCCAAAACAATTACTATAGAAGGTTAAAGGCAATCATTGTGTGGTCATTTGTGCAGCTCTGTGCAACAGGAAGGTTGTGTGTGTTTTATCAGCTTGGATCAAGAAATATGGCCACAACACAGAGTGACTTCCTGTTCTGAGGAACTGAGCGATCGTAGATACAGCACGAGAAACTCCTCTGACAGGAAGTGACAAAGTGAAATTTTCAAACTGTTTTCTTGTTTGGTTCATTAACCACAGCATGCATGTGTGAAGCAGAAGAGGAGTGTGTGTTGTTAGGTGATTGAGTAATTAGTTAGTCACTAGTAATTAGGAGTTAACAATTTTTATATTGTAATAATAATTAAAACTTCTTATGAGGAGGCTGTAACGGTCCGTTGTGCTGGAGGGAGCGGAGCGTGTCGATTTTATGATCTTC